CCCCCCCCTCCCACTCCCCCAGTCGTCTCTCCCATCCAACCTCCGGGGCCAAACCTGATGGAGAGCTAGCTCCTGGAGAAGGGCAGAGACAGCCTGAACCCACAAAGTCACTCACAGAACCAGGTTCACGCCTGCAGGGCTAGCGGAACCACCCAGCACCAGCTCAAAAGCTCATTTTTCGGTCAGCTTTTCAAACAGAAGAGAGGAAGGGAATTAGCTCACTTGTTCTTTTTTGGGGCTCCTGATCCTACTCTAATTTGTCTTTCTCACACCTTCAGTGTCCCACACTGACTTCTAGTGTCCTGGACATAGGACACAATCCGCCAGGGTCTGGTCTGGGCCTGGTCTCCGGGGAGAGTCAGCTCATCTCTCTGTCCCACTGCACGACCCCACGACCCCATCCTGTCCCCTTGCCTCCGCCTGAAACCCCAGGGCCTTGGAAAGCCGGCTTGGTCTGGCGGTGACCACCGCCCCCGGGCCCTCTCCTCTCCACCTTCCCAGGGCCTGGATGGCCTTTGAGTAAACAGATAGCCCAGCGAGGTATGTGATCAATTAGCTTTGCTGAAAATACAATCATTTTGTTATTCCAAGCTGATGAGAAGGCCTCTTCGGCCTGCCTCTCCCAGCCTCCACACGCCAATCAGCCCGTGTCACCGATATAATTTTCCACATAAACACAACCTTTGTGCAACATCTACTCTTGTAAATAGATGTAATTCCCAAACCAAATAACTGCACTTGGAGGAGAAATGGATATTATGCATGCAAAGAGAAAAGCGGCGATTTTTACACTTTCCAGGCAACAAAAGATTACCCCTAATTGCAATGGGGGGAGGGAACCGTGCGGGGCGAGGGAGGCGGCGGCTGCTGGGAAGCAGGGAGGCCGGCTTCCAGGCGGTTTTTTTTCTCTCTGCACATGTGTGAGAGCGGACCACCAGGAACTGCTTAACCCGGGGTTTGTCCTGTTTAGGCAACGGGGAGAGCATGGTTATTGTTGTTGATATCTTAAAGGAAATGGCGAGTTACTTAATTATAAGGTTGGATCTCCCTTGCCAGGAGGGACCCCCCTCCAAACCCAAAACTGTACACATCCTGTTGCAGAAATGTCCCCTACATTCCTGGGCAGGAATGGCTTCGGTGGCCGGGGACTGTGTGCCTTTCTCAATGTTCTGCTTGCTGGAGTCGATCCCTAAATTAGACCTTGAAAGCAGCGGAAGTTCCCAGGCAGCCGGGAGGGAGAACGGCGCGGAACCCACTGTGTAATCCTGGCCAGGTCTGGGCACAGCCGCCTCCTGAGCTCTGCAATGCAGTGGAAATGAAGGCTGGGACGCCCCCTCCTGTGCCTCTGGTCTCCCTGTGTCCCCTTCTGCTGGAAGAAAAAAGTCCTTTGGGGTCAGGAGGCCCCTTGGAGGGTCCCAGGCCAACCAAGGGGCAGAAGGAGTGCGGCCCTGGGAGAGCAGCCAGGAGCAAGCGCAGGCTCGCGGAGCTGGCCCTGCACAGTGCCAGCCCCACTGGGCCAGGCAGCATGGCCCACATTAGAGCCAGAAGGCCCCAGAGCGAGCCTCTGGGCTCTACCCCGTGCATCTAACAGTGACACTCAGAAGACTGTCTTTTGCAAAGACGCTTCTCTTGGCAGGTAAGTAATGACATCTTGGCCTCAAGCAGGCCTGATGCTTTCCTATAATGCTCTGGTTCTTTATTTTGTCTAAATTCAAAACAGTGAGTGAGGCATTAGAGAGGCGCTGCTGCTGGTCTGTGTATTGGGAGAGAAAGCACCGGTGATCAGAGAGGAGCGGCTGAGTGACCGTGGGGCTCCTGTCCGGGTTCCGTCTCCAGGACTGGAAGGGAAGGGGTGGGCGGCCTGTAACACTTCAGCTACAAAAGATTTTTCTTTCTGACCCCC